TATGTGGATGATACCATCATTACAGGAAGTTGGAGCTTAGAGATACAAAACTTGGAACAATTCCTTGCGTCTAAATTTGAAGTGAAAGATCTAGGCCCCCTGAAGTATTTCCTTGGGATTGAAGTTGCTCGCTCAGAAAAGGGTATCTTTGTCTCTCAAAGAAAATACACCCTTGATCTATTACAGGTTATAGGCAAATTAGGTGCAAGGCCGACAGATACTCCTATGGATGCGGACCACAAGTTAGGTGACTGTGTTGGTGAACCTCTGAAAGATGTGAAACAGTTCTAGAGGTTAGTGGGGAAGCTGATTTATTTGTCCATGACCTGTCCAGACATTGCCTATTCCGTTGGGGTCTTAAGCCAGTTCATGCACTCTCCTAAGAAACCACACATGGAGGCAGCAGAGAGAGTTCTTAGATACTTGAAGAAATATCCCGGAACAGGCCTACTATTCAGTAAACACAATCACCTAAAGGTGAAAGTCTTTACAGATGCTGATTGAGCAGGAGTTGTGGATGACAGAAAGTCCACTAGTGGGTATTGCACATTTGTGGGAGGAAATCTGGTGACCTGGAAAAGCAAGAAACAAAGTGTGGTAGCAAGGTCAAGCGTGGAAGTTGAATATAGAGCTATGGCACATGGGGTGGCTGAAGTCCTTTGGCTAAAGAATCTTCTAGGGGAGCTTGGAGTTGTTGTTCATAGTCCTATGTCHCTTTACTGTGACAACAAGGCTGCAATAAACATCGCCAGCAACCCTGTCCTACATGAGAGGACCAAGCACATTGAGGTGGACAAACACTTCATAAGGGAGAAATTGGAGAAAAGGGAAATTTGCATTCCTTATGTCAATTCCAAGGAACAACTTGCTAATGTTCTCACAAAGGGGCTTCCATGCTCGCGGCACAATGAGTTATGTGACAAGCTGGGCATGATAGATATATTCAGCCCAACTTGAGGGGGAGTGTTGTAAGGCTTATTTAATTGTTACTTTATAGCTGTTGTTAGTAGGCTAACTTCTTAGGATACTGTCAGTTAGTTACTTGTCTTTTTTATCTTATTATTTTTGTTCTAAGATGTGTCGCCAAGGGCATACTTGTAATTTCTATTCCTTTATTAAGTTA